CTCGCAAAAATTGCGGCTAGCCGAAATTCCGAGATTAAATCAGAAACAGCTGGAAAACTGTCGGAATCGCGAAAATACAGTATGCGCCGGCGGACGGTGCACCGCAGATTATTTCCAATCAAAACGAGTCGTTTTAAATCCCGGGTAAACGCTTCGCGTGTTCGCGCGCGCGCGCTCCATCCGACGTACGAAAATGAAGACATCAATCGCGCGTTGCTGTATTCGAGAGCACGGCGAAACTAATTAACTAATTCCTCGTCGCGCCGGTCGTCCGCCCACGTTCCGAATAAGATTTAAAGCGGCCTTTTTGCCGGAGTTAATGACGACCCGGCGTCAGTGAGGATCCTCCTTAAGAGGAGAGGAAGAGAAAGAGAAAGACAGAGAGAGAGAGACAGAGAGACAGACAGAGAGAGAGAGAGAGAGAGAGAGAGAGAGAGAGAGAGAGAGGGAGAGAGGTCATTAAACTTCAGTTACGTACACACTTGACCACGCGAGATACCGTAAGTCCGACGACGCGCGGCTATTCGAAATTAGATTTGTCCTGCGAATGAGAGTCAAGTGTTCGTCCTGCTCGAGGAGGGCCGGCAGCGTCGGTCGTGTGTCCCGGCTAATAGAGTTGCCGGCTTTCGACCGTTTAATATCGTTTTCGCGGCCGGCGAAAGTGGAAGCACCCAGCCTCCCATCCACGAGACTCGCGCGCGGAATAATTCAGCGCGCAGTTAAATAAATGTGTGTCCGCGATCGCAAAAATATCACCCCGCCAATTCAATTTCACCGATGATGGAGCTCGCCAAAGTACTACGCGGCAGAAAACATCGGATGATGTTAAGCCCGTTATGTCTCGTTTTAACGTATCATATTTTTGCAGTAATTGCGCGATCGATCGTCCGGTGTACATTCGGTGATTCTCACTCTCTCTCTCATTCTCTCTCACTCTCTCTCTCTCTTTTTTGTCCATTCCATATAATTAATATATAAATCACAGCATGTGTATTCTCTCCACGCTCGATTTAAATCTCCGGCCCTCTTCTCTTTTCCTCCAGGGACACTGGTCTTCTGCACAAGTCGTCCCACAGACATGATAGAAATGTGTCGTATACTTCTTTTTGGACGGATCGATTTGATCTCGTCTTATTTCATCAGTATCGACCCGCGCGTGTATGCACAATGACACGCGCGATTGGCAAGCATACAGAACTGGTTTTTAAATAGCGTTCTTGTTTTTTCAAGTGCAAGACGTATAAATAGAGCGTTAGCAACGCGGGCGCACGCGCGAGCGTGCTTCCAACGCGAACGCACGCACAATACGGCGGAAATCGCGGTCTCTCTTCGACTCGTTGTCTCGTTATATTGGCACTTTGTACCAATAATCGAGCCGATGTCCGTTTTATTTCTTCCATGTGCTCCGCTCTCGCGCTAGTCTTCGATTTGATCGCCACGTACTCTTGAAATTGGATCCCGGCCAAACGCATATGCGTATATCGTCACGTTTTACGGGTCGCATTACGCTCGTATGTGAATAACAGTACAGGCAAAGAGTATTATCAATGTTTCAATTCGGGGTAGATATTTGTTTAAGTGAAAAAGAGGGAGAAAACAGAAGAGCTTTAACAATTGGAGCGCGATCGCGTAATTATCTCAAGTGTGTATGTTATATACATTGAGAATATATTATATACATTGAGAAAAATCTAAGAAACAAAAAATATTCATTTGGTAAGCATCTATGACATATTTTATTTATATTAATATAAAATATTTTTCAAGTAAAAACATATTTTTAACATTTTAAAATATTTTAAATATTTCCTTAAAATGTTGGCTTTTAGTAAAAGTAAATATTTATTCTATTTACATACAAGAATTTATATTTAAATAAATATATCATTAATGCCCATCAAATAAATATTTTATTTGTCAAATATTTTTTCTCTTAGTATATTAATTGTAGAAGAGTTTTTTTAAAGAAAAAGAGTTGGAACTCCAACTTGGATTCTCTACCGTGACTATTTAATTGTTGGATTAATAAAACTGCTTGTGTAATTGAACTTACGAATATTTAGCAGTGTCTAAATGAAAAATGTGTCATTCGTTTCAAAAACTCGATTCGCATTTTCCGAATTCAGCTTACGTCATGTAGCGTAAACGATTGGCATTTCTTAGTCACTGATTCAATTGGTACGCATATATGGCCTTCGTATCAACGTTTAATTTATCGCGCGTAGCATTGATCTAATAATATGGCGGAATTGTTATCGCGACGATACACGTCGATACCTGCACGTAACACTGATATAATAATATCGTAGAATTGTTGTAATAACAACAGAAGACACTGGTACGCATTTCACGTCACGTTCATCATCGGAAATGCTTAACTTTTATATTAACTTTGAAGGAACTGTAATTTTTACCCAACAACGTGTGCTTTGAGCAATGTCGATATATGTTCTCAGTCTCACAACGTGTTTATCAGTTCATAAAATCGCGTATCTACCGCGCGAAATATAAAACGCCTCTGCATACATACAGAGGCGAAGATTCCGATCGCGAATAAATCTAAAAATGTGCCAACTAGAAAGAAATTTTCTACAAACATGGACGAAATTCACAACAGTTACCTAATACAAACATTCAAAGCCAAGAATTAAATCTGATTTGTCTTTCTTAATTCTTTCAAAGAAAGCTCCTTCAGATAAAAACGAGTCACTGGACAGTAGACCTGCACTAATACAGCGTATTAATGACGCATATCAATAGATAAGAAACGATCACGAGATTCTTCGTATGGCAACTCTGTCTATTTTAGCTGGCAATGCGCGATGTAGCCGAAGGACGCCAATTTGAACAACTTATCTTTATTTTTGTTCAGTAACTTTTGTTTTTATAATGTTTAATTTGTTATTGGACTTTTTATTTTCAATAATAAGGCATTTTAAAAATTGTAACTCAACTCTTAACTCTAAACTTTATGAATTTCATCCGTGTTTATAGGAAGTTTTCAGCTTAAATTAATCCCAGGAATACATTTTCTTAGTATGTACGATTCGTCATGGCACACCCTATATATACATACGTATACATACATATATACATGCGAGAACACGCGCCTTTGCAACGATGGCGATATTTACATAACACGTGGTATAACGTTAACCACCGGTGCGGCGCAGCGGGATACACCGACGAGATCAAAAGAAACATTCCGCCGCCGTAAAAATTTGAGGGCGTCTGTATAAAAGCCATGAATGCGAATCGCGCGAAACTTCACGATGATGTGCGAGCGCGGATACACGGGGGGTCTAAACTTCGCGAGCGTTAACAGGACGACGAGCGGATGGGCAATGGGATAGTTTCGCGACTTTACGTTACGTAAACTTATTCCGGGTTTTCTTTCGGCGGAGGCCGGTAAATTCGAGCGCCTAATTATAGAGGTGCCAGAGAGAACGCCTTCAACGCCTCCGTCACCGCCACCACCACCATCACCACCACCGCCGCCGCCGCCGCCGCCACTCGCCTGCTTCTTCTCACGAGGAACTCCGGCGGCGGTGTGCTGGAGGAGGCACTTGACTCACCACGAACTAAGAAGTTTCAATTTCCGAACATAGTCGCGGCACGACGGTGTTATTAATGCAATTAAGCAGGATTTCCTTCACACGATACGGCCTTGTTGACTACGCTGATAGAAAGTAATCGCGAGTTTCGCGCCGCATCTTAACCCACTGCCGGCGTGTCAAAGTACTCGAGCGGTGGCGAGCTTAAAGAAAAGCTCGAGTCGAGTCACTTAACGCCAGTACGATCGCGTTTTTCCACATTTCAGCAAATTAACTATTGCAATCTAATCAATGTTTTATATAGAATAGAAGCAAAGACATCTAATTGTTGGTTCCCCTTAGTCATTGACACTCTGGAAGAGTCTAGTTATTCTTGCAACCAATAGCGGTTGTTTACAATTTCAATTGTAAAATTCTCTTTTGGAATCATTGGGTGCACAGGTAAGAAGTTTAGCTTCAATGCATGAAGAAGCAGGTTTTTTTCTAGAGTGCTAATGACTATGTCAATAAAAATTGGATATTTTTTTTTTACTTTATATTTTTGAGGCTCAGATTACAGAAAATTTAGGAAATAATTTCTACGCTCAGCTTTTACTTATCTTCTCAATTTGCTTAATTCTCTCTTTGAAATTCGATAAGCTTAAAGGGTTCGTCTGAATATTCAAATTGCACTTTTCAGCACCTAAAGAAAACCGACGCGTTGTCCAAGCACTTTCGCCAGCGCATCGTTAGCTGCGCCGTTTCTTAACGAAGTGCACGAAGGTGTTTTCACAAGACAACAAAGACAACAGAGAAAGACGTGCGCGTACGAACGCAAAGCCGCTCGTGACTTCAATTTCAGCGGCGAGTCGACACGACACGATGTTATTGATGCGGCTACATCGCTGCCGCCGGTGCAGTCGCATGTGCAATAATGCGAGTTTACTTTACTCCTGCATGCGTCGACGATCACAGCTTAAACGCGGCCCCGCCGTCGCTCTCTCCATCTGCGCGCGTCCGCGCTCGTCAACCCTTCCCGCACCCCCGCTATCCGCCGCCACGATTACGCCGTCGTGTACTACACCTCTCTGCTGTCGTATATGCCTTACTTCCGCGCAAATGGGGACGTATCGAGTACGTTGTTTTTTTCCACGTGTCCACAGCACTTGAACACGTCAAGCAATTAACTCGATGTTGCGTTTGATTCGCGTCAAGTCACAACCGCCGAATCATTTTTCATTCGTAGTACGTAGCGCAACTAGAGTTTCCCTCGGAAGGATTGCGCTCGCGCGCAATCAGAGAGAAAGAGAGAGAGAGAGAGAGAGAGAGAGAGAGAGAGAGAGCAAGAAAGAAAGAAGGAGAGAGAGAGACGAGCGTTCGCACATTAAGTGGAAAAACGAACACGACGGTGCCACTTGTTTTGGCGTCGTTTTCGCTAATACCGAACCGAGGCCCTGCCGTACTCACCTCCTCGAGTTCGTGCTCCGTCTGCAAAGTGGGAAAATAGTAGCTTCGACAAGGCTCTTTCGGGGCCGGGCTTGTCGTCCGTGTGCGCGAACGCGACCTCTTCCCGATTCGCCCCGCAAACGCGAGAACTTCCGCGGACGACACAATTCGGTTCTCCACTTCGCAGTGTCGTTTCTCACTATCGAAAGAAGGTACACGGAGGAGAGAACGGCACAGGGCCGAGCGAGCGAGCGAGCGAGCGCAGACAATACCGCGGGTGGCGAGAGTGGTTGGCTGGCTGGCTGGCTGGTTGGCTTGCGCGACTTTGGCACGAGCATCACGTGCCGCGATAAAGCAACGTGCCGATCCGGAGTGAGAGCACGCAGGGTTGCTCGACCCACATTGCAACGGAAAGGTCTCTTTCGGGAGAGATCCGTCGAAACGTATCTCGCGGATTTAACCTGTCCTATGTACGTGTGACCCAGAGCTCGTTGACATTAAGTGTTCATTGTAACGAGTCTATCCTCTATTGTCTACACTATTGCCCGCTGTATTGTCTATAAAAATTCTACGATGGACACGCCGACTGATATTGCTGCAGCTTTGCGCTTCTGTTGCATGTGGAAAGAATCTACGATCGATTTTCGTGGTCAACTTTCATTTCTTACAAAAATGAAACGGAACTAGTTCGAGTCGAGTGTGCGCAAGTGATCGAGTGAGCTTTCGTAATTCGGCACGTTCAGACAGCGGTAATCGTCTCGCGATGAAAAGCCCGCGACGCCGAGAGCGATTAGTCGAGTGATTAAACGTCGGGATCAAGTCGGCTGCCGGAGAGGAAATCGAAAGTGGTGTGATCGCACGCCGTAAAATCCGTTTTATAATGCGACCTCCGCTGTAATGTTAATTAAATCTGTGAAAACGAATGATCATCGTGTTTCATCGCGGCGCGTTATGCGAGCCGCTTATTTCACGGCGAGTGCCGTGAGTTAAATCGCAAAATGCGGCGGAAACGAGCGAAACACCGGTTTGAATGAACGTGATGTATTCAGTTTGCTCTCAAACTGTGGCTCTCGCACAAACGTCGGTCGAAATTAAAAGCTAGGCTCCCCGCTGAATCTACTCGTCTTTGTACAGAGACAATTGCGGAACGGACCGAGTGTGTGTCGATCAAACTACGGTAAACTCGGCTCTAATATCCATGGAAAACGCGGCTGCGCTAGATTACCGATATGTAAATTGCGCCAGTTTCGCAACAAACGGATCATAGACGCGCGCCGGTCGCGATGCTCGCGCGCTCGATTCATGAATGCGACGCATTCATAATCCTAACATTGTTGACGTGTAACGCGCGTGACCAGGTCTAATGTAGCGTATAACGAGGCGAACGATCCAACGACGCAATCGATACTTGGTGTAACGACGGGAGCCAGCGGCACACTCTCTCTCTCTCTCTCTCGCTCTCTCTCTCTCTCTTTCTTTCTCTCTCTCTGTTTCTCGTCGCACAGTATCGAGCGGAGAAGGCCGAACAGCGACGTCTGTGCGAACAATTACTCGAGAGACACTCGCTATTAATAGATATTATGTAAAAGAACAAAAGAACACGTATAAGTGGCACCGACAGAACGGAGCCGTGAAACGGTCGCTTCGGGACGGCGAAACAGAAACGAGCGCGACAACAGCTGAACGCACGCGTCTTCGTTACCACATGCTTTGCGAGCTCAAGGACACCGTATGCTAATAATCGATAAGAACGACTCGCCAGATAATCGCTTGATTGAAGACGGGTTTCGATATTACGACGAGGACCTAGTACGTTTCCATGTGTGAGCATCGTTGAGCCCGATGCGCGTTGATGCGAGCGTTGCTCGAGACTATCTTCGTTCTTTCCGCGAATGGCCGGCGCTCTCCACATTAACCGAGCGAGATAGAACGTAAACTTCCTCGTACAACGCGCGTACAGACTTTCCCACGGCGAACGTGACGCGAAACGCGTCGCCGGCGCCACGCGGCTCTCGTGATTTTCCGGCACGCGAAGCGTACTATGATCGATGCGTTTCTGTGAACGAGAAGGTGCCGACGTTTCGCGAGTCGAGTTTAGCGACAACTGACCCGGAACGAGACGGAATAGTAATAGTAGTGCTGGTAGTAATAGTAGTAGCAATAGTAGTAGCAGTAGCAGTAGTAGGAGTAGTAGTAGTAGTAGTAGTAGTAGTAGTAGTAGTAGTAGTAGAAGCAATAGTTCGCTTCGAAAAAGAGGAATTTGCTCTCCAATATCGAAACGGGGAGAGCGATAGCAACTGACGACGTCCCGACTTCCTATCCTGTCGAGGGCCGTACGTTTGGCGAAATGGGTCGCGGCGATTCACAGCGTTGGGATGGAAATTTGGAAATTCACGAAGCGAACACGTCGCTTTAAAGTCATATCAGGCCATAGTGCGTTAAATGCTGTGTTAAATGTCACGTGTGGCGGCGCGCGAGCCGCGATTTCGGACCGACGTAGGGAATGTGCGATGTAAAAGGCCGCGCGCGCGTCATTAACAGAACGGAACGTGAGAATGTGGACACGCGGAATAACTCGAAAACGCGCGCACTTCTGCGCGCCGGGTTTGTACGCGAAACAGCTGTCTCGCGGCTGTACGCACTCGTACACCTCGCGGAGTCAGCCTATCGAGCGACTTCAACCGCGTTCAGCCCCCGCTAAAGCGATATGTGCATAATGGGATCACAAGTGGTCTACCTACCCGACAGTCATAATTCAAAGGGCTGTTTTACACTGGTAATCAACGAGCCTTCCCCGATCCCGTTGTCGGCTTTCTTCGCGAGTCGCTCTTCACACAAGAGATGTAGAGTCCCTCACACCGGTCGGCCAATCACATGGACATGTTACGAATCATCGTCGCGATCACGTACAAACGGGAATCCCAATTATCCCGGAGCCTCCACGATGATTCTCCCGCGGATCAATCGACGTTACTCGATTACCGGTCAGGATTATTGGAGAAGCGCCTTCGTGTCCTCCGCGGCGGGATGATCCGCGCAAACAGGCCGATATGAGTCAATAGGTATATCTCCCGGTGATCCTTTAATAATCCTTTCGCCCTGTCGACGGCGATAGTCAACACGGGACAAACTCGATTAGCCCGAAACACCCGTCCTACTACATACGGCGGAGTTTCGCAGTCTCTCCACACAGAACAATGATCCGCGATCTCGATCAAAATCCGATACCGTACCAAGAGCACCACCAGTCAATAACAACCGCTCTTCTCTGCGCGTACCCTTCGGCGATCCTTCCGTCTATGAGCGAGAGACAATCGAAGCACTCGGACCGGTCGTGTTCTCGCACGAGACTACATCTCCAGAACGCACGTATTACCCTCGCACCCAGTTACCCGAGCCGATCTTGGCGCGCTCACGATATCAGAGCGGTCTCGAGGACACTGACAACTCCTCGTGCTCGCCGACGACGACGAAGAAGACGACGACGATGAGGACAACGTGGTGGAGGAAGCGACGCACTACTTGCGTGAAAGCATTCGACCACCCGTCGCGATCGCGTTCGCCGACGCGCGAACAGGTGGGCACGCGCTCGACAAGTCACGCCGCGTGTGGAACACGCGAGTCTCGCGAGCTCCGTGGGTACCGACGTTAGAGGAGAATACGCACGCGTCGTCGCGACGGCTTGACGTCGACTGAGGTGACGCGGGTACGGCGCCTCGCGCCTGTCCGCCCCTGCTTTGCCGCCTCCACCGCCGACGCCGACGCTGCCGCCACCACCACTACGATCACCACCTCCACCTCCACTGCCGTCGCCGCCACCTACGCTGCCGCCGCGGTGCTGCCCCACCAGAACACGGAGGCGCCACCGACGCCTCTACACCCTCAGCGGGTTGCTACTTCGTCCCCCCTGACGTCCCTTCCCTATCCGAGCCCGTGAGCACACCGACACCGCGTCATTCAGCGTCGCTGCAACCACGAGGGCGGACGTCGACGACGGCAACGTGATGATGGCCACGAGCGTGTCGATAGATCATAGTCCGTAATGATGATGAACGGGAGAGGAACAGTCGTTTGACCGTTATGCCCTCTCTGCTGTATCTCTCTCTCTGTCAATTGTTCAATGTGGGCAACGGAGCAGGCGGTGTAGGATGGTGCAGGAGAGGTGGATAGATATATCTCTTTCGATACTGGGTCTTAATTGATTCGAATGATAGTCTCTCGATACACGAGGCACCAAATTGCTTCAACAATTCGACCGGTCAAACCTTTCACGGCCTCGTGTCTCGTGTGAATGCTTCAAAATAGGTCGATTACTTTCGCCAAATTAACGCGGCATTTGATGCAAAATTCTCATCCGTTATTAAGTGCACTTCTCTTTAATTACCGCCCCGGAAAATTTTAGGTGTCGCGATAAACAACGAGTCTTTCGTTAATATCACGGCGCAACGAGGGCATTACGTGTATGTATACGGGTGCATATCTTTGAAGAGCGGGAGCGATAAACTCACGGCCATCATCGCGGATGCAAGCGGGTCACGAGAAATGAGCCAGAGTAAATGAAGTCGCCGCCGCTCCGAGTGCAGAGCGCGACGTCGCCGTTTTCGGGATGGAAACCGCATGCTCTCGTCGCTTAAGCGCTGCCACCCCGTCATTCGTCGTCGTTACCGCCCGGAGGAAAAACGCTGACGCCACCAAATGCAGCAACATGTCGCGGTGACTCCGAACAGCAAAAGGAGCCCCCCTCCCCCCGCGCATCCGTTTTCTCGACAATTCCCAACCGCGCAACAGCCAGTTTCACGAGCCGGAGAGCAGAGCTCTTGGCGTCTCGCGTCGCGGAGAAATGTCCCGACGCCGCTTTGCGTTTTCACCTGTGATTTCGTGACAAGAGCGCGCGCGCGAATAATCGGGCAAGAAAACGTAACGAGACGCAACGGTGGCTGGACCGCGAGAACCTTGAATTACCGGAGGTATCTGCGTAACAACCGTTGTCGTTGTATGGGCCACCGAGACACTACAAAGAACCGTAATTATGTGGTAGGCGGTTTTTGGTGGCGCGTGCACCCGCGCGTGTTCCATTATGACGTTAGTATGCAGCCGCGAATAGCCGCCACTTGGCCATTTGTCACGACTGTCGCAAGTTCGCCCCTGTTTAATGCATCCGCGCCCCCGGGGCCAACCCCACCCCGGCGTCGCCTTTGCCGCAATTTTGGAGTGGCAACGCCGTTAACAGGCGGCGTTTCCTTGGTCGCACAAAGCAACGGCAGTTCGCGACGAGGTTCGCGACCGGGCTTGACTGATGCCGGCTTGGCCAGCTGCGAAAGGCGTCGGCGATGCCGTTCGAATGCGACGCGATCGATCCGTCTCCTCGAGATGATAGGCACGATAAGCAAACTCGCGAAATTTTCAACTGTCGTCACCGCTGTGTCGGCCAGCGTAACTATGAGAAGTGAAAAATCAGCTGACGACGAAAACGTTTCGTCATTCGCGGAAACCCGTTTCTCGTTGTTATCATATTCGTCATAATCGTCACTTCGCATATGTCCGTTCGCAAATTAATTCGCGGCCGATTAATTCAGCGTGACATCGATAAAGATTCATATCATAAAACAGTCATGACTGTCCGCGCGCGATGGGACTTATCGGACGTATCGCAAATTCGCGTAAATGGATTCCGCATGCCGCCCAATGCCACATTAGCGCGATTAGATTATTATTGGCGGCTACAATTCCGCCAATGACTTATTATTATCACACGTGAACGCTGAATTACGAATGATAATGGCCGCTGGAATTGTGGCGATAAATAACCGACGTGCCATATCGATAATCTACTATTCGTCCCACGTTGAGTTTTCCTAGCGTGCGCGAGGGTCGTTTTCTTCGGGAGAGAATATACGAGCATTTTCAAGAGGAACGACTCTTAAATTCGGCACGTGACCGGGTCCCACCGTCCGCATCGGTCAAGTCGTAGGTGCGCGCGAGGAATGTCGATTGTGATGATTAATTCGCATACGCTCGCGTCCTGCTCTCGTTCGCGAGTCGACAAGTATTGGGCGGCTCCATAATAACCGCGGCATTGCGGGAATTCGCCTCCTTCGAGGTTGGCGCTTTGAATTCTTGGCTCATGCTTACGTAACGATCACCAATTAAGGCACAAATTACGAACAAGAATTAATAGCGATAAATTTCTACATTGCCTTATAGTATATGCTGTTACATACAATGTGCGAAATGTACGTAATGGAGGCGCGGCGCACACTTGTGCAAAGTTTCGGTGAAAAATGAGTCGAGTACGTATGACTGGGCGCGATGTAATTTTTGCCGTGCACAGTTGTGACGTGATATTGATACCAGCAGCTGCGCAAAGCATCGAGGTCGTCGCTTTTGTCATTTGCAAATGCGGCATCTCGGACTGCAAAATCGATCCGCGCCAAAGTTAAGTTAAACCGTTTCCGATACGCAAGTTACGTGTATATATGTGTGTGTGAGAAAAGAGAGAGAGAGAGAGAGAGAGAGAGAGAGAGAGAGAGAGACGCAGTCAAAGAGAAAGAGAGTTAACTTAAGATATTTTTCTTTGCCACGTCTTTCCTCGGCAGCGCCAACGTTTTGAAAGCACCGAATATGAGTATATTAATGCGCGCGTTAACAAGAATTGAATGTAAGGAGGACAAATTCAACAACAGGTGAATGTTGCAAAACTGACAAAAAACGTAAGGCAACGAGGAATGGAATCGAAACAATATTTTCCCGGGCTATCTGTTCTATACGGTAGTTTGTGCGCGCGCGCGCGTTTCCATCAGAATTTGCGCTCCTCACCACCCCCTGCTGTTCTATCTCCGGAGAGAAGTTATCCAAAAAAAATGTCTGCGGAAATTCAGAAGCTCGTTCTCGTGAATTCGTCTGTTCGCTCTTCGAACGTACTTGTGGTGGGCGTTAATGCGATAGCACTTACAGACGCACCGCAGCGTAAAAGTTGAGCGAAACAGCACCTCCCGATGGTTTTACGTTATTTACGGCTTATGAAAGGGCGAGAGGCGTGCGTGGCGGAGGCCGACTCGAAAAACCGACTGTTGCGCGCGAGACTAAATAATAATAACGTTAGTTACAATGTTATTTATGACTCGGCAAACTCTCGCGGGTAAACGCCACGCGCGAGTCAGCGGGAAATGAGAATGCGTAACCGAACGAGGCGATATTTTTCTCCTGAGTATCGATTTTTCCAAGCGCGAATACGTATTTCCGCTGGAATCCGATCGCTCTTTATCCCCCGCCCACACCTTTCTAACCCCCTAAGAGGGTGCCGCTGACGGCAAAGTTGCCGCCTCGAGAGTGGAACTTTTTAGAACTTTACAGCGAGGAGCGGAGATTAGCCCTCGGGAGTTTTAGTTTCTGCTCTACAATGAGTAGAGAATTCAGAAAGGTTTCATTGCGGTGAAAAAAAAAGAAAGAAGGGATCGATCGATCGGTCGATCGCTCGCTTGTTCGTTTAGATTTTACTCGTTAAAGGGTCGCAAAGGCCAAGTCAAAGGCCAAAGAAAAAGTCGTATCGAATAATAATACGATATATACATCATATATAAATCACATATTTCTCATACGAGAGCTAATAGCAAAAATAATATATATATTTGTAAAATTAGAAATGTTTGTTAATACTCTTGTAC